TCGAACTGTAAAAACACTGGTCGATCCATATTTACAGACTTCCAGAATGTATTTAAAGCAAATGCATCGTTAATATAAGTGGCAGAGTGACTTTGACTAGCATTGCTGGCATTACAAATTTGGTAGACTTGCCCCAAGTCGACCTCTCTTGTTTTCTCGGCGTTTTTTTAATTCGAGCGACGTCGTGCGGAAGTGCGCCCAGTAAAAAAAAACAAAGCGGGCGGCGGACTTTGCGAAAGTCTACAAATTTGGTTGCAGTCAAGACTAGAAGGAAGACAATATTCTTCAACTTTATCGACACCACATGTGGAATTCGCTTGAACTGAGAATTTACTTGCTATCTTTCTTGAAGTAGGAAAGCAAGGCCCAGCGCTACAGTCCTTGTTGCTGCCGTAAACAAACGAAGTTAGAAGCATCACGATTACTAGTAAGAAAGTATTGAAAGAGTACATAGTAGTCAAAATATGATTTCAACAACGATGCAGCGGTTCAGTGACTACCTGGTTGGAATGTGGAAACAACTGTGGATTATTAAACAAAGAAGAAAGGTACAAACGCTATGAAAGCCATGCAATGATATGAAAACAAAAGCCAAATATGGTTTTAAATGTATTTTTTAAATAAACGGTTATGGTTATAACTATTGTTGTACGCAAAGCTAGATTTGTTTTGCATTGTCTTCTAACGGTAACTCGGGGTGGCCGAATGGAATGTGACACAATAAATACGAACAAGAAAGGTCAAAACCCTAAAACCATAAATAAAAAACAAAAGCCAAATATGGCTCAAAATGCATTTATGCTAGCGATTAGAATATTGTTATGCAAAAAGATAAATTTGTGTTTTTGATTTATTTTGGTTGGCCGTGCGAAATGGTTTGTACTATAGTAAAGGCTTCAACCAGGAAGAAGCAGAAAAACAAGAACAAGAAGAAAAGAACAATAAAAAAAACCGAAGATCGAGATGGAGAGCGAGAAGTGAACAAGAAGAGCAAGAAGAACACAAAGAAACACGAAGAACACGAAGAACCAAGAGGAAGAAGGAAGAAGAGGAAGGAAGAGGAGAAGGAGAAGGAGAAGGAGAAGGAGAAGGAGAAGGAGGCAGACAAAAAAGCTAAAACACTGTTTTAGATAAGCTATTTCACAAATGTCTTTTCTATTTTCCCCCCAGTAACTAATACTGACATCAGTTACTGTAAAATCAAAATTTCCTTGTCGATGTGGCAAATCNAGGAGAAGGAGAAGGAGAAGGAGGAGAAGCAAAGAAAAAAGGAAAGAAAAGGACAAAGAAACAGGAACATAAGCGTTACAAGAAAGAAAGAGAATAACAACCGCAAAAGATCACCTCAACAATCCATTTTCTTCGCGTAATTTTTATTTTCCTCTCCTTATCAATATGCAATACATTTTTATAATCATGAAATACTTATGCTTTTCATACGTATTTGTCATAGTGTTTTCCCAACTAGGCTTGTAGGGCATTCATCGCGTCGAATACTCGACTTTACGAGGCGGGCCCATAAGAGGAAATGCAGCAACTCGTTTCTTATTTGCAGCAACTCGTTTCTTATTTGCAACAACTTGTTTCTTATTTGCAGTAACTCGCTTCTTATTTGCAGCAACTCGTCTAACATGCAGCAACTCCGCGTTTCTCATTTGTAACAACTCGTCTGAAATGCAGCAATTCGTTTCTTATTTCTAGCAACTCGTCTGAAATGCAGCAACTCGTTTCTTATTTGCAGCAACTCGTCTAACTTGCTGCACGCGTACTGTCCCTAATGGTCCGCCGTACTAAATACTTGTTGTACATCCATAAAGTACTGATATATGTTTAGATAATGTTATAATGTTTCGTCCCTGCTTAAAATAACCGAACATTTACAAAGGTTAAAATCAAGTTTGAGGAAGTATCCAGTAATGTGACACTGATCACTCACATCATCATGAAATAATGATGTTGTTAGTGGTACTGGGGATGGTAATGGTGATCAGTGTAGGTTAATAATGATGATATGGAGATGATGTTAAGGATGGCGATGGTAATGAATGGCAATGGTGATGATAATGATTGAGTGGCAATGATAATGGTGGTGGTGATGGTGATGGTGGTAATAGTGATATAGATAGTGATGATATGAATGGAGGATGTTAATATAGGTGATAGTAATGCATGTCATGAAATGGTGGTGATGATGATGATGATCCGGATGGCAATGATAATGGTGGTGCTGATGGTGATAGCGGTTGGTAATAGTGATAACTGAGATAGTGATGATATGAATGGAGGATGTTAATGTGGGTGATAGTAATGTATGTCATGAAATGGTGGTGATGATGATGATGATCCGGATGGCAATGATGATGGTGGCGGTGATGATGATGACGATGTTCATGATTGTTTAGGATGATAATTAGGTTGACGCTGATGTTGACCGTTCACTGAACTTTTCTTCTGATACGTCTAAGCTTGCAAATATATAATTGACATAGAATGGCTTCTTCTGCATGATAAGACGGCTTTTGCAAATGCATTCAATCATCAGAGTCATTTTACTATGTTAGAAGGTCTTGAGTTCCATCAATTCGAAATGCCTTCCCCCTATTACGACTCCATTTTGCAGCAAGAAATCTTTGGCAGTCTTCCCTTCGACGAGAATCAACCATCTTTTATTTCTCCGTTGAATGACTTTTATCTTTCCCATTTCGACAAACTCCCCAAGACTGTCTGCTATTTCAATGATAGAACATTTTGGGAAATTTCTTGAGCCCTGCACTTGTCGTTCCTCAAGTGCAAATCCTATTCGATGCAACACTCCATCTTTCTCTTTCAATTTTTCATGTTCGTGTTCAATAATCAAAACTGATTCACCTCCTCGTACCTCTACTTTACCATTCAAAGAAAGTCGAGGAAGCATTGAACTCGTTTTAGCGTTCAAAACCGATGAAGTTTGGGTTATTTTATCGGTCGTTTTAAGCTCAGAACCATCGCCAGACTTTCTTTCTTTCAAAGCTTGAGGAATTCTTGGCAACAACTCTTCTTCCTTAACGCCTTGTTTCAAAATCTTTTCAACCCAAAAAGAAGAAGTATTTACTTTCTTCATCTTAGAATCATAAATTCCAACCTCACTTGTTTTTAGCATTTCTAAAAAATTGGTATTTTTAATCACTTCTGGTGAATTATTTCTATATTTTCGTGAGCTCCTTGCTACACATGCTCCAGGAAAGGTATGGTACAATTTTCGTTCGCGACTAAAGTTCCTTTCTCCGTTTGCATTTTTAGTATTTTGAAAACTTTTCAGTGCAGATTCTTTGTCATACGAAGTCTTTGTCTTCTTTGCTGTCGTTCGCTTTAAAGGTAAAATCTTAGATCGAGGAGGAACTACGAGATATTTACTCGCATCATCTCTTGCAGTGTCCTTCCCAATTTGGACATTATTCTTAGTCACGACAGTCTTCTTCATCGAAAGCTTTGAAGATTCAACTTTCCTTGATTTTTTCGTCTTTTTATTCTCATTATTCTGTGGTAAGTCAGTTACTAAAGTCTTAGGTGTCGTCTTTCCTTCCGAAGGTGGCAATCTTTTAGCTATTTTCTTCTTTATTTGCTTCTTTCCGCCATGTCTACCTTTGATGTGATCTCCATAGCAACCGGGAGCCGTTTCTGGCCGTTCTCTTGTTTTCAACGCATTAATCTCCCCATTATTTGATTCCATCTCAAAATTAACCGTATCAACATCTCCCAAAATTTTTACCAAACTCTTATTGCCATTTTTCTCTGGGTTGCAAGCGACACAGACTATTCCAGTGCACAAAATTTCTCCAGCTTTAGTAGTATGTTTCCTAATGTTTTGGTAAAACGGAGCGGAATGAAGTAGCTCCCCCATCTTAACCGCTGTTGGTAGCTCGAGTTTTTTTGCTTCAAATCATATTCAAATTGTCTTTAAAAACCCTCAAATTACTAGCCAAATAATCCAGTAAATTGTTCACCTTTGCCTGTCCTTCAGGTGTAATTTTTGGATATTCTTTTTATGAAGATGATAATTAAGAACTTTATATTATATCAGCAACTGAAACGCCATTGGTTATGTCTTGATCATTAGTTTTTGATTGACTACGTCTTCCTGTTTTTATTTTATGCAAAACAACCCACGCTTTCAGTCTTTCACTAGACTTGCGTCAACAAATATCTCAAAATCTCAGTAGATTTGAATAATTTTACGGGTAAAACCGATTGAGAAGTCAGCAAGTCCCAACGCCTCGGGAGACAAAGCTCATAAGCAATCAGAAAATTCTTTCCTTGAAATTGAAAATTAAGATGTTCAGAATTAAAGTATATAGCCTTATGGATAAAGAATTCAGTTTTCAAAACCTTTTTTCCCCAAAAGACAAAGCACACCTCCGTGGACGAAGAAAGAAAATTTTCTTACGGTATTGAAAGTGCAAGAAAAAAGTGTTCGCAAAAAATGTTGTTAAATATTATTACGAAATATTTTTCATAATTATGGGAAACTAAAGGCAATTTTAGCACAAATGTAAATTCCACCAACTATGGTTGGAGCAAAACCGAGGGCTCACTGCGTTGAAAATCTTGTTTACATTTAAATCTGACGATTTTGAATGGAAACAGCTTCGCAGCTGGTTGGTTTCTACGACAATGTTTAATTTATATTTCAAGGCAAATTAATTCATTGATAGAGTAACAGTTACATTTCATAAATGTTTCAATGTAGAAGACTTTTTGCACTGAAGGATYATGAAGCTAGCTACGCCTGAAACTGAAAAAATTTAAACGCGAACACTCTTTATTTCTTCCGCACTTTTTTGAAACCATAGATTGTAACAACAACAAAATATGGTTGAAGTACACAAAACGAATAGTTGCGATGATGAAAACTAGCAACTAAAGGAAGAAATTGGAAACATAAACGCCTCAAAACTATAAGTATGTAGTCTTCATTTGACATTTCGCTTTTATTTATGGGTTGCCTGTGTTTTTAGGAGAGAAACCTGGGTATATATTATCTTGGTTTGATTATGATGGTTACCTAGCAACAGCATAGGAACATGTCTTCCAAGTTGGATGTGTTTGTTGACGAACACCAACTTTAAAGCTAAAATTCGTTCATATTTCATGGAAAACTCAAGGAATACAATATGGTATTCGACACAAGAGACTTATCGAAGTCTCATGACAAAAGAGAAATTTTAAAAACGCCCGGAAAGTCGAAATATGAGAAGCAACGCGAAGAAGATGTTGTAAGGAACGCTCGTGAGAGAGGATATCTGAAGGCTGCCACAGAAGACGCGATATGGGAAAATATCGGCGAAAAATGCGATTTAGCGGACATAAGATACCTAAATATGAGCACTATTCATCTACATACAGTTCGGTCTGTAGACCTTTGTAGTGCGTTAAGGATATGTGTGCTATCTAGTAATTATATTACGAGTTTTGAAGCACTTGGCCAGTGCAGACAGCTGTTATTTTTGGACCTTCATGATAATCAGGTAAAAATACAAAATTTTTGATAATTTTGCCCTTATCCTTTATCTATGATAACGCATCTTTACAGCGATGTCTTTTAATTCCTCATACAAATCAAGAGCTACACGAAATCGTTTGCTAAAAAATAGTGTTTTGGAGGCGAATGTTGTGAGTTTGCACAATATGTTTTGAGCTAAGCACGAAATTTAAAATTTCTTAAAAGTTAAGCTTAACTAATAGTTATCTTTATATAATAGAAAAGAACAGAAAAAATATTTTTGGAAAGGAGGTAAAAAGGATTAGAAAAGTACAGCTAAAAGGAAGGTAGTTTAGAAAAAGGTATTTTTTTGTCCATCTTTGGACAAAACAATTAAGCGATAATTTATTAATGAAGTAGAAGACCTTAGGCATAATCCCTTGGCCAATTACTGTATATGTGGTAATGAAGCTTAAGTGCACAATTAGCGCCTAGTGCTTAGTTAGGATCTTTCATTAATAGTGTAAAGATTCACGGAAAGAAATAGTGTGTTTTAAACCTCTATTCAGGGCATTGAGGCCATTGTCCAGACCTCATTAGCAGCATTAGCAGTTGGATAGTGTGTACCACAAAATTGCCCAGTGAAACTCATTCTTATGGACACCCAACTAATAGATACTCTATAATTTCAGAAAAAAACAACCAAACTATGACATTCTTCAACTCCCCAGACCCCACTATAGCAGTTGATATTAATATGAAAAGCTAAAAATAGAAAGGAGAATCCAGTCAAATCCAGGTTTACAGGTCACCCAGTTAATAAAAATGCCCTGTTATTAGAGAAAAATGGACCAATCCACCCCACCTCCACCCCCTAGGATTTAGCAATCCAGTCTTTTACTACTCTACCCATCCATACTTTGTTAAGAGGTTAATGTTTATATGAATTCCGTTATCTTTTAATTCTAGATAACAAAAATACCAGGGCATAGGTTCTGGGCTGGACTAGAAGATCTCCAGGTTGTTTATCTCCATAACAATGGCATTTCCAAGCTTGAATACGTCCAATACCTGGCTTCCTCTCCTAGTCTATCAATCTTGACATTATTTGACACGCCTTTAAGTTTGAAGCCCAATTATCGGCACCACATTGTTAACAGTGTCTGGACACTTAAAGCATTGGATAATTATGTGTTATCTGATGAAGAAATCATTGAAGATGCAACATTTGGTGGTCATTTTGCAGCAATGCATCCGTCATTTTCATTAGAACTGTATCAAGCAGAAAGGAAGGTGAGTGGACAGGGTTTTTGATAATCTTAGAAAAAATAACTCCCAAATTTACCGGAAATTGAGCTTGCTAGAAAAGATAATTAATTCTTATATTTTGTTGGGCTACCTGTGGATTTTATCTGGAATTTTCATGCCAAAATTGGTGTACTTGCCCTTCCAACTCTAATTCTTTCACTACAACACTGCTGCTTATACTTCATGGAGTTAATACCAAGGTTTTGGTTTATTTTTCAGGAGCRCAATTTTGAAGAAGCTCTGAGAAAGGTTCTCCGGTTGATAGCCAAAGTGAATAGTATACAAGCAAAGAACTCACCAGTCTTGATCATACAGAAATGCATCAGGGGCTACATAGCAAGGCAAAACGGCAAATACCTACAAGATATGAGACTTTGGTTAGAAAATTTCTTAATCAAAATTTCTGCTAAAATAATAAGCACACTTCCCACCCCTTGCAAACCCCTTCCAGAATATTTTCTGTATATTTTCTGGAACTTCCAATCAATATTTTTCGAGAAGCGCGAAAGCTAGCTGTTAAAAGTATATCGCCTAGATGCGAAAACAAGACATTTTTGGAAAGACTATTACGTGCGCTATGAAAAACACACACATACAAAACTTTGAAATTATAAATAGATACTTTGAATTTTCTTTTAGTTCAGAATTAGGATTATTACTTTTTGTAAAAATGTTGCTCGCTTCAGAAAAATCTTTTCTTTGAGGTTTCAAAAAAACTAGTATCTTATGAACACTACCCGAAAATGCCTCGTTTTCACGTTTGAGCCTGCGATATTTATGAAAGCATCTCGGAAATCGTCTATATTCCAATCCTCCTCCATGGAAGACATGTGGGTACTACTATATACTCTCCCCGCCTCTACGAAATGTTGAACCTTGAAGTGAGGTGGAAATATAGTGGAACCTCTTTAAACCACCCACAGAGTTGCACCCCCCCCCCCCCCCCCAAATAACCCCTGCTAATCCATAATCGACATATTTTACGTTTCCTCCAAAACTAGAATTGATATTGTTCTTCTTTTATCTATACCACACAGGGCAGCGGTATCTATCCAGAGGTTTTACAGACACTACAAGGGAATACCATCACCCGTTCCCCCGCCTTCCTCGCCAGCACCAAGTAGGTCATCCCCAGGAATCTTCGACTACGACTCGTACATCAGAAACATGAGACCTAGTAACACTCCTTTAGTGTCACCAAGGACATCAGAAGAAAGAATCAAGGCAAAGGTATCCAGTAAAAGTGTTTCTATAATTGTCGAGCCAATTCCAAAAATAGAAGAAGAGACTGAAAGCTTAGCGACTTCTCTTACGCCTGAAGACAATAGTAAGGAACACGGAGATTTTCCGGTCAGAATTACGACAAAAGCGACTATAAATCTAAAGAAATTGGAAACCAGCACCTCCGATATAATCAAGTCTAAAGAAGATGCTGTAACTGTTATGAACAACGTTGGGCTAGAAGTCAAGCGCTCCAGTAAAAGACTCCTCAGTAAAGAGGAATCTTTTGTTGGTGAAGGAAAGGAAAAAGAGATCGAGAGAAAATTTTCAGAATTCGTTAAAAGCAAAGAACTGAGAAAAGTGGAAGAGAGGATAAATGAAATAGTGAAAGAACGAAAAAAGAATAAATATCGAGTTGGTCGGCGTGATTCAGTGAGGGTATTTTTTGGTCCTATAGTAGAGACTCATCCCAGAACTGAGAAAAATCCTCTAAAGACAGAGCGAGATACCAAAAGGATCAAGTTCCGCCTCTCGGGACTCGAACCTCCAATAAGTACGACTGATCCGTTGTTAAGGATTCTCTCGACGAAAAAAGAAGCGGGAAAAATGGTGAGACGAGCCGCGCGGGAACATGAAATGAAGGTCTACAACGAACCTCCAAAGAAAGTGACCCGTCGACCAGTCATAACCACGGACCAACGTTTATTCATTCGTACGCACGGGACAATGGGAATGGCATGTCTGAGGGCTGTACAGCAAGCATATAGAGATCGCGAACGTAYTGAACGTAATAATGGCAAAATAGATAAAGTAGCGCAGATGAGAGGAGAGCGCGAAATGGCTAAAGGACGCGTTAGAGCTTATAAGCAGGAGTACTTGGAAACGACACTGCGTCGACGGATAAGAGATGGYGTGAAGACGGCCGAAGCGTTGAAAGAGCGACAGGAAAGACAGGCTGAAGAGCACGAACGTCTTCATACAGCACGCGCTGTAACAGCAGAACAGCGCAAATCTCGTCAAGCTGATTTTGCGTTCATAAATGATTTCTCCTGCCAACAGACCTCCGTCGCAAACGCGCTTATGAAGCACGACAGAACCACACAGAGGGAAGAGATGCTACATGACGTAAGCGAATTGGTTAGAAAGGAAAAGGAATCGGGTTTAGAGCAGCATAGTCTCGTTAAAAGGTACATGGAGCACAGACAGTTACTGAGACAAGCTGAGACAGCTATGGCTAAAGCAGCGCTTGAAGAGCGTCTCTTCCAAGAGGTCAATCAGCGAGCTGATGACGTAAAAAATAGACTCACACAAATCAAATCTAGAAGTCAGCAGCGTAAGGATTACCATGCTGTACCATTAACTGTTGCACCCCCACAGCTACCCCCACTGGGCGTGGTTTCACCTGATCAGATGGATGTCTGGGATAGGCTACCTAAAGTTGATTGGCAGCCGAGAATCCACGAGAGAACACAATCCGAGCCTGTTAAAGGGGTTCGACCTACACACAGGCAGCGATTGTTCACATATCAATCATATGTCGCACTAGCTTAATAGTTTTTTACTCTTTTAAAAATTACCAAAAAATCTGTTTTCACTCTAGCTAGATATTTTGTTATAATCTAACAGTTTAATATTAATTTTAGATTATTTTTTATGAAATAAATGTGATTCATAATGAGATGTACAAATTTAATTTTTTTAAGTCGTTTAAAACTAATAAAAATATATATTGTTAACTCTAAAGTCTCTAAAGAAAATAGGGAAAATAATAAATGGGATAAATCCTATTTCTCCATCCCACCCTAAGCACAACAAATTGGCACAACAACTGTGCCTCAGTTCATGCTAACTTTGAAAACTAAGTGAAGTGTAAAATATTTTCAGCCACAAAATATTGTCAGAAGGCAAAAGAAACCAGTTATTATAGAGTGCAAATAATATACCTATAAAATAGATAGCTAGCTAACTAATTACTAACCTTCGGTTGCCTAAGTCTAATTAGTTAAAATAGGCGGGCCGTGACGGGTAAACTAGTGCACGTGTGCTACTCAAGGGTGCACATTTTAAAATACTTTTAAACACATTTACAAAAACTGAAACATTTTCTTGTTGTACATGCTTTTCCTTTGTATAATTTGACATGTTCACACTTTCGTATCTATCCATTTGTGTATYGAGTTGTTACGCCCRTGCCCTTGTCATGCCTTACTGAATTCCTATTTCTTGTCTAATTAAGTGCTAACTATCTCCCATTTCATCCTAATTATTTTACGGGTATATTATTTGCACTTTATATGCATAATATTGGTTTAAGATATTTATTTAACTTCAAAAGTGATTTAGAGTTAAAATAGAATTATTGCCTAATGAAGGTGATACTTCCTTTTTCTATAAGCCATAATATGGTAAAGTTATATATGTCATAAAATCAGACGTTATTTATTTAATTTATGTTATTGATTTGTGTATATATTTTGTTCTGAGAAACTTTCTCAGAGAATTCAACATTTGACAAATAAAGTCCACTTTAATCACAATTTCCAGCATTGCTCACTATCAATACATACAATTCTCTTCTCAACTTGGACCTTTCATTATTCTTTTTCACAACACAAGTCATTCCCTTGAGATTGATTCCTTTGTTTACTAGTAACGCTTGAGCAGATGTATTGATGTTACTGAAACAGGAATAATACTCAAGGGAATGACACATGGTCTGAAAAGGGAAAAATTACAGCCAAGCTAAAAGGTCCATATCCATAAGTCCTAAAAACTTTAAATTTCTGAAAGAGAATTCATCATTAATGTTCCATTCTCAGGCAACAGCCATGTTAGCTAGAACAATATGCTTTTGCCTTCCAACACTCCAGAATTAATTCATTCAGCAATAAACATATAAGCTTTCTTTTCATTGGAGTAAACACGACAGCCAGATTAAGATGTAAAACTCCTCTGCTGTAATGCATTTAGATGTATTCATCAGCTTCCATTTCATCTGAAAATCCTTTTTCTCGCTTTTTCTTTGAAAACTGAAACACCTTCCTCTTTCCCTTAGCTTTTAAAATAGCTGTTTTAAATAATTTTGCATAAAGGTTCATAGCTGATGGACTGTCATCATTTCCTGGAATAGGATATGTTATAAGGTTTGGGTTGCAGTCACTGTCGACAATCGCAAAGCTTGGAATATTACACATAGCTGTTTCTTTGACGGCTAGGGTATTTCGTCCTAATGACGGAAGGTGAAGAAAAACAACTGCATCTGGAAGTTTCCTTGTGTTTATTACCATGTGAGAATTGGTGAATGTACCACCTCGCCATTGTCGGGTAACAAAGTACTCTCCACTTTCTCGTGCTAGTTTTTGGGTCAGTTCTTCGAATTGCGGTTTAGTGCAGATGAACAGGATGTTTCCACCTCTGTATACAATGTGACTTAAGACATTAAGAGCTAGCTGTGGAAATAATGAAGAATGAATATTCTTGTAATAGTTCCTTTCACAGTTCCTTTAACCATCTTGAAAGGTATCCATGCCTTTGGATCAAAGCGAGACGAACAGTGAGCTTGCAATGATAGATACCTTTTTCTTACACCTTGGACAATTATTCATGTCTCTCATTGAAAGCTCACTGTCTCGCTTCCATGCAAAGGCACGGCTACCTTTCAAGATTGTGCAGGGAACTGTGAAGGGGACTATTGAAACAGTTTGGACCCTAAAACAATACATTGTCTATTACGACCATTTTAAAATGTCAAAAGGGCAAGGGAGTGTCTAAGGAGTGTATATTGTGTAGTGCAAAAGAAATTGTCCATACCTCCCCAATAGAGTAGGACTGGAAGTTTTAAAGGGTGGGGAGGGTAATTTGTGTAGTTCCAGAGAGCATCCATAGCTCACCACATGGAGGGACACTGGAATTTACAAGGGGTGGGAAGGCTCTGAGGAGGGTATATTGTGTAGTTCCAGAAAATATCCATACCTCAGGCATTGAGGGGGATTGGAATTTGCAAAAAGTGAGGAGGGTATCATATGTGTATTATGTTGTAATGAAGCAGTTTTCTACCTGGAGATGTTTGACAGTTTGATCAAGGTCTATTATATGCATGTGCTCTCTACTGCCATACAAGTATGGCTTCATCAATGGATTCCAACATCCTTCGTGGTGGCCAAAGTGAACCCCACCATCGAATAAATCTTTCATCGTAAACATTTTATTGACTTCGAAATAATCTGGGTGGTCCAAAACATCATCTTCTTTGATGGCAACTAAAAAGGCAAACATAAAATCATTCAAAGAACGTAAACTTCTATAGCTTCAAATTTTGTGGACACCCTAAAACAGATTCCCTAAGGTGATATGTACATAGGCTAATCAATCTACATGTGTCAGGGCATGGCTAACTCACAGATTGAGCCCTAAAACAATCTCTAGGCTGATCTTAGTCAGGGCATGGCTAACTCACAGATTGAGCCCTAGAACAACCCCTAGCTTGATCAAAGTCAGGGCATGGCTATTTTACAGATTAAAAAGATATAACTAGCTAAAAACTAGTGTGAGCTGCGTCGGTGTTTCTAATGAAACAGTAATGATGAAAAGGTAAATTATACACCGT